TGCTTGGTCTTCAGTCATGAGCAGTAAGCTGCAGGTTTAACTGCATTAAAGTGCTTGTCAGAAGAACAACACAGAAAGAGAGGGAGAGTGTCAGAGCCTCTCAGAAGTTTACTGGGGAGCTCTTTGAAATATTTAAATGCCGGGCGCGTTTTTAATGTGAGATTGATGGAATAGGGTCAGTGTCAGCATTGCAGCTATTATGTCGCTGTCTTAGAAAAGGACTTCCCACCCGGCAAAGGATGACGTTTAACACTTTTCACCAGGAATTTGTTTGGATCCAGAGGGGTCTGATACTTTGTGATATGTAATATGGAGCTATTGTTTGTTTGTAAAAGCTTCAAAATGTATGGAGCCTCAGGGAAATAAAAAAAAAAGGTTCATAGATGGAAATAGGTTCACGTTGTGCATGGCTTCAGGAAAAATCTATTTTGAAGAATTTACAATCTACAAATCCTTTTATATAACACGGTCTTAAACACCCACACCCAACCATTTTTAAATATATATATTTTTTATTTCATCATGTTTCCTTTTTGACATTAATCTCACATTGAATTTGAGGTAAAATCCCCAAACACTCAGCAGGTTTTTCTCTATTCATAACAAAAAACAAAAACAAATAAAAAAAAAAATCCAACTATTTCCAAAGCCTATATGTAGGACATTCCTGGGTGACTCCAGGCTACAAACATCGACTAATTCTAAACATATTCATAGCGAAACCTATTCATCTTTAGTCCTGATTACATATTAGGAATGAGTTCAAGTCCCATAAAGCAGGAAACAGAATCTACACCAGGCAGTAAGACTGATATGTGGTACCAAGGACTCTCACCAGATTTATGCTCATCTCTTCCCTACCAACAGTTTTCAGGGTAGAGAGGCAAGATGATGCCAGAAAAAGATTCATTAATAATGAATGCGGCGAGATGCTGGAGCCTCACCACTTTCACATGACAAAAAAAAAAGAAAAAAAAAAGCATCCCCTCAGCTGTAGAAGAAGCACAGTATTCTGAGAAACTGCAGAATATGATTTATCCATCGATGGCACTCGACAGCTGGGTATTTAACTCACCCCGCATGTAGGACACTCATTTGTCAACCGTACTCTGCAGCGAGGAGAAACATCAAGTGCAGTGAGAAAGTAGGAAGAGAACATAGCTGCAGATTCATAATTTTTTTCTAATTCAGAACAGCTCAGTATTGCCCCCTGTTGGTGAAAAGCCCGCACTAAACTACTGGTACAGAGTAATCAAGAAAGTACTATGTTAACGTGATTCTTTGGGTGTGCACAAAGAAAAGGAAGGCCAAAATCATATATTTAGTGCAAATTATTGTCTCTGTTAATTTTACTGAAAGAGTTTCTGGTGCCTGTCTGATAAAACATTCTGGTTCTTTATTCAGTGAAGTAACGCCAAGTTGGTGGAGGAGCCAAAAGTTGTAAGTGTTGCATTATTTTTAATTAATATTATGGATGTGAAACTGAAAAGTCTAGGTGAAGAGAAATCTTGTGGATAGTTAAATTATCAGGGGCCAAATGATACAAAATCTGAAATAAATCTGAAATAGTTTTATTATTTCCTTTTAGTTCCTTTTTATTGCTCCTCCTCTGAGTAAACAGTGAGGAAATAAAGTACTGCTGCAGATGCTCAGCAGCACAACAAAGTACAGCAAATCTACAACAAAAAGGAATGAGCTAAAATGAAATTTTGTGAGAGACTTACAGAAAATGAACATGTAAACTTATTGCTGCTAGAATACATTCTACTGTGTTTAACTTTTGTACATACTTTCTTTTTTTTTACAATTTGGCTTGGTTTTCTTGCATTTGGTACAAATTTCATTGCTCTAGAGACCTCAGTTTCACAGTAGAACAACAAGAAAAATATAGCGGGGAAGAAAACATACAGTAAAGCACAGTAGGTCTGGACTTTTTTGCACACCAAAGTAAAAGAGATCAATGAAATAAAAATTCATGTTAGGAAGATCCTTGTCCTGCAAAGAAGAAGAGCTTATTCATATTTCTGGCCACACCTGGGGGTTGGCAGGATTCATCTTTCATCTCATCAAGATTGCCACATCAGTTAAATATCCCCGTTGGCCCCAAGCATTAAGAAAACGGGTATTAAAAGAGATCTCATGTCATGTGTCTTCATTTTCCCTCGCTGGGTGTCTGTCAATTCGATCAAGATTTTAAACACATTCAATATGACATGTCGAAAGGCCATTCTCTCATTCCACAGAAAAACTCTACTCTATTTTACTTTTGCAGGCTATTGCTGACATGGGTTTATATTTGTTTTGTGTGTTATTTACCTACACTCCTTTTATCTACTTTTTGATTCAGAATAAATGTGTCAAAAGGAAGACAATGGTGGTTTGCTGATTTGAAGCCCAGATCTACCTTCTGTCTCAGTCGTTGTTTCCTTTGGCAAAGCACTTCTCCTGCCTCAGTCTCGTAATTTCAGTATCAGTCTGAAGGATTATTTATTACATTTTGTATTAAGCAATCCTTTTTTCACTTAAACATAAGTAATCTGCTGGCAAGCTTTCACGTCTGGTCCAGGTTGTTGAATGTTTTGGTGGTTTCTGACTTCAATCGATTAGTTAGGTAAAAAAAAAAAATACTCTGAAGAGACAATCGTCAGAACACAGGTCTGAGGTGAAGGGGTGGAAATCAGAGTTTTGCACTTTGCATAAAAACCATACAACAAAATCTACCGTATGATGCAAAAATAAAATAATCAATTAACAGAACAGAATAGAAAGTGTTAATCTTGTTTGTTTCTGCTCTAGTTGGGTGTGTGAGCATGGAAATATGGTGAGAAAATGTGATTTTATTCACTTGATTTTATTCATTGATGTTAGAAATCTACTCTACTTGGCATGGTGGGGAAGTGATTGATCAAAAATATAAAATTTTAATTATTTTCAGATAACTGTGCACTAGCAAAGATTAAGAGATAAAATAAAAACATACTTTGTTGTAATCCTTGATGTTCTTTACAGGCTTTACTACTGAAAGAAGGAAAAGCTAGAGGTATATTATTATCAAGCTATCATAATTTAAAAAAAAACAAGTAAGACTTAGATTAATCAGAATAAGCTCTATTTGATGTTGGGCCAGCCTGAATAGAAAATAAATAGAAAATATATGCAAGTTAAACTTATATGATCTGTCAGAGTTAAGCAGAACTAACCTTGGATTACAACAGTTCAGGTTGGAGCTCAGATTGATGCAACAGTTTGGGATTTATAAGGTTTGGTGGTGACCTTTTGAGAAGAGCAGCATGTATCTTTAGCGCTGTTTAATCAGGTTCAGTTATTGTGATGCGTCTTAAAGTTGTGAGCTCTTTGCCCTCATGTGTTCTTTTGTAACCTTTTCTGGACTGATTAGCAGTAACATTCCTTGTTTTTCAGCGTTCCTGCGGCAAACACCTCCACAGATCCATTTGCTTTAAATAACAGCAGGCATCCAGTCACATGTAATTACCATCACAGTGATTGAAAACAATAAACCTAAATTTCATGTATAAATAGCCTGCTGATGCTGATGGTTACACAACTTCATCTGTTCAAGTGTTTTGTCTCAGTACCTTCCTGTTTTAATAACATGTAAAAGGATTAAAACGATTCTTACCACATCATGATATGAGCTGGAAAATGTCTTTAATTTTTTTAAACTTTTTTTCCCATTTTTAATCAAATCCTGTTAATACTTGTAATTACTTTACCTTCACACTGGCACCTGTGATTAAACTGCTTCTGTCCTTACTTCCTCATCCTGCATCACCATAAATCAATCGCAGAGAAATATAGATTGAAGTAATGAACATCAGAAGCACTTTGTAGATGTTGAAAATCCATTGAGATAAAACGCCAGTTATTTTAGGTCTTACAAATAGTCACATTCAGTCTTAAAATCATTCAGACTCTTGATATGTTTTGATTACAAATCATTCTCTTTAAATCAATGTTAGAAAGTGAGACCAACATTTATCAAAAGATAATAAAGCAATGCAAAGAGAACATGAATTTTGAAACACTTGTTACTGCATTGACTCTTTTTTGATAAATAATCATCTTTCATCGCTCATCTTTAGTGATGAACTGCAAGTCTTTGAAGGTCTGTTTACCATCCCTCGAATCTTTAGCTAACTCCACAGATTCTCTGTCAGACTCAAGGTTGTTCCACTTCAGATATCTGTCTTTTTACTAGTCAGAAAATGTTGAAGAAATTAAAAGAATTCCAAATCTGCCAGCAGTATGAATTTTGGCCATAAATGTAAAGCAATAAATGAAGTTCAGCAGACTATCATAGAGCTTCAAAATAAAGAAGGTGTTGTGTTTGATCTTTCTGCTTGAAGTTTGAATGTTGTCCTGTTTCTTTCTGGTTTCTCCAGCTTCCTCATCCAGTCCAAAAACATAACTGTTGTTTAGTCTCTTTAAATTATCCTTAGGTGTGAATGTCCATGGCTATTTATCCTCTGTAGCTCTGTGTTACCGTGTGGTGGATTGTCAACCTCACCTCTTACCCAGTTGCCCCTGGAGAGAGGTGATGACCCTGCATGGACAAGTGGATACAGGGGAAATGTATTAAAATGAAATGTATTTATTCGTTTCAATTTAGTAGGAAAACCCGACTTTGATTTACAATCTTATTTGCAGGGGTTGACCTGGCCAGGATTTCCGTCAGTGCACAACATTTTATTAAAAAAGATAACATATTTAACTCTAACAGTGAGCTGTAGTTGGTTTAATCTTCAGAATTAAAAAATGAAACACATAGGCCTATATGACTCATGGACCTTCTGGTTTTGTCGCTGTGCAGCCAGGAAGATTTTTGCTTTTGTTCAGCCATGCAACAGGAGATTGTTTTTACAACTGACAGATGCTGATTGGCATCTCAAAAAGCTCAAATAATGTATGAACTATGACCCCAAATTCCAGCGGAGTTTAAAAAGATACTTCATGGATGCAGAGCAGAACCAAAGAGCAAAGAGGGGCAGACGAAGTTCAAATCATCTCCTCCATCCATCCTAATGGGGAAGAATCATATCCCAGACTCCAATGTCTCTCTGTCCAACCATATCGCAGGCCAGACAGAGATTTAAAGAAGATTAGATGAGGTGGATTGCCAATACTTAATGGGGTCATGCAGTACACATATTACTGTGAAATATTGCCTCTGCTGATTGGAAGCTGAGATGTTATCATCCCATGATATTTGTGAGATTCCATAGAGCAACAGAACTGACATTCATCACAAGATGAACTGCTACAGGAAATATTTACTGCCAACAACATGACCACCCAAAAAACATCTTTGAACATGTGAGTCACAATCACATTTCAGTTTTCTTTGGAAAAAAATATTATTATTATTATTATTATTATTATTATTTATTTATTTTTTTTGTCTTAAGCTGAATTTAAGTTGAACAATATATTCACCTGAAAAAAGAAAAAAAATCCTGTGCCTTTAAATCTTTTAAAACGTACTTAAATACATTAATTGGGACCTACGGATTACCCTTAGGTCAATTTGTGGTTTATTTATACAAAACGGAGGTCTGAAATGGTTTCTCACATAAATTTGTCCTGACTTTAGGTAATGATATTAAAAAATTTGCCTGGGAGCAAAGTGAATACCCTTGAGTAGAAAAGGAAAAGGAGCAAATAGACTTGTGAATAACCAAACACCATGTTCAGGCATCCTGGCTTAAGCTTTGGTTGAAATGCAGGCAAAAGCTTCAACATGAATGTGTAATACAGATTTTTCACCAAAAGAGGTCAGCAACATGCTTTTTGACAGACAATGCTGTGAACATGAACTAATCATTATATAAATACGCCAAGACATTTTCTAGGAAACATAGAGAAAACATTTATGGAATTTAAAAAAAATGATTGTAGGTTCGTATTTGATAGGCAGTGATAAACTGCACTAAAAATTGCACTAATCAACTTATAAAGGGCTCCCAATTAAAACTTGAGTCAACTTAATGCTTAATCTGACAACAAAACCATTTGTTTTGCAAGAAAATTTACCAGATACAGAAACATAACTGTTTTGATTGTCAATTTCAAATATGGATCTTATGTTCACTGATCTCTATTTACACACTTCAGCTCTGTGCATCCTGCAATGACTCTGTGACCACCCAAATTATTTATATGATCAAAATCTGTCCCAGATCCTCGATTTGTTTCATGTTGTAAATATAGCCTCACTTTTTTTTCTTCTAGATTTTGCTACAGAGCTTCAAAAAAGAAGATTTTTGATTCATTTGTAGTCCAGATCAAAAAATTTAAAAAACACATTATATTTTGCAAATATTTGTCTGAGGTTGCAGTTAAGAGCATTGATGATTGAATGCAGTTTGACCTCATCTGCAGCTCCTCTTCAGGGGAGACAACCCCTGTCAGCCCACCCCTCTCTCCTGGAAGAGTGGCTTTGGTTTTCCTGTCTGCATCAGTTACATCTCAGCCTGATGACTACAGCTGCCGGCGCTGCATGGAGTAAGGCTCTTTGGTCTTTAAATGTGTATGGTTATATTTGCGCCGGTAAGTCCCCTTTCTTTCTTCCTTTTCAAGTGTGTTCTGATTATTGACTGTAAATCTAATTATTTTTTTGCCTTTGGTTGCAAATTAATACTTATTAATAACAAGACTTTCACATGATGATATTCTTTTTTTTTTTTTTGTATCTGATAGTTTGGAAAGATGATGAAAGGCATTTTTCTTGTTTAAAAGTATCAAAAGAAAAAGTTGTTGACTCAGTAAAGCTGTCTTTGGCTTCATCTTTATGTTAGGGATGTTGAAAAATGTGAAGACAAATCAATAACAGAGTCCAGATTTGGTGGTACATGAACAAACAGATTCTGACTCTACCGCTGTGGGCTCCCTCTAGGGCACAGTACGCAGCTCTGTTAATTATCTTCCTTCCTTTAAATTATTCAGGCTTTGTTTTCAAACTCATTTTGAACTGTAATAATCTCTCACTTGATTTATTGATGTGCATTCATTATGCAGCAAGCTCACACAATCAATTGGTGCTTCAGAAGAATTCATTGAAGGAAATCACCAACAGATGGTTACACTTTCAAAACTTTTTTTTTTTTTAAACATTTTCTTTTTATAGATTTTTGCCATTTGTGCATTTGCCACCTGTGGAGGATACCATGGCCATCTTCAGGTTAAAGTGGACTGCTCTGCCCAGAGACAGAACAACCTCAGCATCAATATTGATTTTGGCTATCCTTTCAGGTAAATCAGGACTTTTTTTTTTGTAACTCTTAAAAAAGAGATTTATCGTGAAAACAGAGGATCTTAAAGTCGAGGAGATACAAAATTATTAATTGTATGACAAATTGTCTCAGATAAAAGCAACCAAAAACTTCAAATATTTAGATATTGGATCAACAGTGTCTTACTGTAAAGTTTTGTGAAGAGACTAACATTTAGCTGTCCAGTTTAGCATAGCTGCTCTCTGTTGAAGCTCACCCAGTTTTAAATCAGGCTGAGTGGATATGCCGACCCACTTTAACATCTCTAGGTTTTCAGTGTTTCTTACATAACTGTGCTTGCAGTAAAAACGGTCCCCTCAGCTGGTCCCTCATGCATATTTTTAAGCATGTTGCCATTTTAATGCAAGAATTTTAGGCAATGGAAGATGGAAACTGAAGTATTACTTTGACAACACAAACTACATAAATAACTGATGGAACCAGGGTACAGATTAAAGAAGTTGGTTTTATAAATCTAAAGCGATAAGGACTTTGGTGTTGTTTTTTTAGGGATGAGGTCCATTTTTAATAATATTTTATCTCAAATGTCACATTTCAAAACAGTCATTGTTGCACTTGCACAGTCTCCATTCTCCTTACCTTTTCTGTACCCTTTTATGGCAGGTTGGAATGTGAGTGAGTTGCATTCAGACAAAATGGGTTAATCTAAATACCTGTAACATGCTGATTCATTATTCCCGTACCTAATTAATATCCTGGTATTCATTATCTGTCTTAGATTTTCGTTGTTGGTAGGACATTGAATAGTCATATTAATGCAGATAATTTTTCTCAGATTTTTTTTTTTCAGAATTTGTGGTTGACAAATGGGTGCATTTTTAAGATCAATTAGTTTGTGGATATTATTACAAATATTAATATTTTTTAATAACATATTAGTAAAAATATGAATAAAAATTATTCAATTAGAAATGATTACATTTCTCTTAAGTATCCTAACAGAGCTCTTGTTTTCATCTTAATGAATATGCTTTTAAAGACCAATGAAATGTTGATAGACACATCCTTCCTCCAGAGTTAATGACAACCTTTACTTGTTGCTCTCTGCCGTCTCTTTATGTCTTGCAGATTGCAGCAGATTCACTTCAAAGCTCCCTCATGCGACACAAGCAGAGAAGAAGTCATTTTCCTCAATGGCGACTTCTCTGCCGCAGCTCAGTTTTTTGTAACTGTGGGTGTTTTGGCATTTCTCTACTCCTTCTTTGCAACAATTGTCTACGTTTTCTACCAGAACAAGTATCTGAAGAACAACAGAGGCCCTCTGGTGGTCAGTGACATTTGATTTCAACGATTAGTTAAATCAGGAGCATTGTGTTAAAATGACACTAATAAGAGACTTTTTGTGACTTTCTTCTACTTCTGTGTTTCTGTCCTGAACATTGCAACAGGATTTTCTTGTCACTGTTACCTTTTCTCTGCTGTGGCTGCTCAGCAGCTGCTATTGGGTTAAAAGCCTCACTGATATCAAGGCAGCCACAAACCCAACAGAGGTACTCCTTCTCATTGCTTCCTGTAGAGAGAAGGAAAATAGATGTACGACCACGCAGGAGCCTCTCTGGTCTCGTCTAAACACTTCCACTGTAGGTATTTGATCAAAAATGAAACTGTCTGGATGTGATAATTCACTTATGATGGTTCCTTTTTTTTTCAGGTTTTTGGTTTTCTTAATACAATCCTCTGGTCTGGAAACATTTGGTTTGTCTTTAAAGAGACAGGCTGGTACAAGACCGGCCAGAGATACCCAAGTAGGACTTCTTCCAGGAAACGATCCAGTGAAATGCGAGAGCGACTCTACAGCGAGTCCAGCTTTGACCAGCCAGATGACAGTTTTGGCCCCTTCAGACAGGACAGCTTCATCGAGTCAAGAGGGGACTACGACAAACAGTTTGTGAGACAAGCTAGCATCAACCAATCACAAGTAAGCTTCAGCTTACCAGAGACATATCTGGGCAAAGCAGTGATTTATGAGAGAGAGAATAAAGTAGCTTCTCAAGGACCTGTGATTTTTGTTAATGAGATGTGACCTTAACATAATGTGAGCTAAAGTAGTGCTGTATTCTTATATTACTACTCACAAAGATAATTAGAAATCAGCTAATTTTCCAGATGTATGAGTTAAAATTTGTGTAATACAAAAATATTATTGGAAAAATATTAAGTTTAACAGTTGTCAGATTTCAAGGACAAGGTAAGGTCACTCAGGACGTAACCTTAGTGAGGTCCTTAGCTACAGAGCAATTTATCTTTGCTTTACTGAAAATTCATTACAATAAACACAATACAGTAAAAACCTCCAGGTAATAGAAAATAGCCATCTATACAGATAAAACAAAACTAAAAAGAATTAAACCTCATCTCAATTACTCTTTAAAACAAAATAGTTCATGAACTTTTTTTTTTTTTTTTTTGCATACACAATGTCATGAAATGATTTTAGGTACAAGATCTCTGTGAAAGCAGTCATTTTGCCACAACTCTCCAAAAGAATTCAAACACTTTAAAATAAATAATAAAACTATAGCAGACCTGTCTCTTTACAGTCTTTAATGTCTTATTATAGGGATTAGCACCATTGGTAGGATTATAGCTACTAATTGTAGTCATACGTCTCATGTATTTTCTCTAAATAGAAAACTCTAATATTTCCCAATAAAACTCCCAATATCCCAGTACAGTATTTCACAAGGAGCACCATTGGTGATCATTGTTGAGGTAAAAATCTGAAATAAATCATAATTGAATTTTTTTTTAAAATACCTCAGTGATACTTAAAATGGCTCAAAGAAGCTTTCTGATACTCCCACAATGAATTATAATTGATTCTTATTATTATGACTTTTTATGGGACATTCACTAAAAAATAAGTTAGTGTCAATGTTTGGTTCAGTCAGCAAGTGAAAGATTTTGTTAGTTAATCTCTAGTGAGCAGTTTTGCTGTCTAATGAAAAATTATTTTTAATGTTAACGTTTCACTGATCTCGTAATAAGGCTTTTTAAAACAGTTTAAAAAAAAAAAAAACATTCAAATTACATCTTGCTATTAATCTAGTTGTTTCAGATTTCTTTAAGTGTTTTCCAAAATCTGTAAATCTACCCTAGGTGTCATTTCTACACAGTTCCCTCAATGTGCCCTGCTTTTTTGGGAATATTCTGAAGGGATCTTGATTTGTATTTTTCAGGACTTCTAAAAGGTAGTTCAAATTTGTAGTTTGAACCTTTTAGATTTTTTTTCTTTTTTTTTTTACCACCGATTCTTAGTTCAGTTTATGTGAAAGCATTTTATTCTTCAAATGTTGCATTTTGGAGCCTTTAAATGCCAGAATGGTTTATGTCAAACTCCAAACTATTCCCCTGACAGAGGAAATGAATATGAAGATAAAAAGGACTTTGAACAGACCATCATAGAGTCTAATGAAATATTGATAAAGCCTAGTTTTAAAGATTGTAAGAAAGTCTATGTCTCTAAGATTGAAAATACAAAGAAATTATTGATCTTTGCTTTAGGATTGTGTTATAAAAGTTGATATTCCTGGATGTTCCATTTGTATTTTGGGTCAGGTCATATGGTATGTGTATGAACATTGCAGTAGCAGTAGAAGAAAGTGTTTAATGTGTGACTGATATCTGTGACTTGGCATTGACGTTTTGTTGCATGGTTTTTTGTATTGGTGGATTTCTTGATATTCTAATTTGCATATCTCCTCCCTATCTTCATTTGGAGATCTGAAATGTTGTATTTCTCTTGATTGCAAATCCTGCAGTTTTTAAAAAAAAGGTTAATTCAAGGTCAGAAGTAAAAAGATAAACCCTTGTACAGTAACAAGAAGTCAGGATTTTTGTCTTTGAAAAAAATACTGCAGGTTTTCATTTATTTGAAAAATTAAAAATAATTGTTATTTTATCTTTTGCTTACATACTCATTAAATACTTAACATTTAGATTTTAATTGTACTTTGAAGCAGGTGTTAATGCTTTTTCTTATTTACTTTTATGTGAGAATGCATTGTTCCTCTTTATTTCTGTGGTAAATGGGTCAAAACAGAGGCGATTTGATGTAAAATCTTCTATAAATAATAAATGTGAGAAGTTTACATTTGAAAGCCATAATGGAGACTTATTTTCTTCGCAACTCCAACTTTTGTCAAAGGGTGCAATCCAGAGTGTATTAGGATTATCTTGTCTGCAAGGCCAGAGGGATAATCCTTCCTTGAATCTATTTTATCCTGTTAAGAACGTTAAAATAATACGGGCCAAATACCTGAGATGGCTTAGCTCATTGACTGTCATAGATCTAACTCTTTAAATGTGACAAAGCACAAAATTGACACTGAATGAGTTTTGGTTGAACTTCAAGCTATCAAAATGACGCCTAAACTGATCAAACAGTCACAGACTGCTCCCCTAGTGACAGGTTTTCTATAGAAAAGGTCCAGCATCCTGAAATTAACAGCTCATTGAATTTTTTCCTCTGTATTCACTGATCCCTACCACAAATATAAGACCCAAAGACATTCTTAACACCTCTCAAAAATAAAATTAATTCAATTAAGATTCCTTACATTTTTGCTGAATGCTTTACTCCTCTTTCCTTACTCATTTGCCTGTTTGACAACTGTAAAACAAAGGACACTAGAGCTGAGAAAACCTTTTAAAAAGCCTTTGCTGTGTTTGTGCATCAACTGTACAAACACAGCAAAACAAAAATTTAAACACAACATTCACTTAGGATTTATTTAGAGAGCAGAGTTCTCTAAATAAGAAATTAACTTTAAAATTATTACCTAAGCTGATAAAGTTTAGGAAATAATTTACTTTTATAAATTTTTTGGGCTCTTTCTGGATTTTGAAGAAAGTGCTTTGCACCCAATGTGGCTTTACAATGTCTAACTGTAATGCAAAGCGGAGTAGTTTGGGAAGGAAAAAAACCAAGAGATCCAAGGTTTTGAACTTTCTCAGATCAGAACCACGTTAGCAGAAGCTGAGTGGTTTGTTTTGATCCTTGTTGCAAACAACTAATACTCTGCCATAAAATAATTTTAACTGCAGTGAACCAACCTAGCTGTTCAGCAGAAAGGAGTTGGTGTGAAGAGACAAAGGTTCCTGAACATACCTAGGGAAGAAACAAAGACCAAATAAAAAGTTATGAGGTTTTGCTGTGGCGGTATTGCAGCAAATCTCTGGAAAGATTTCAAAAGGGAAAAACATCTACCAATATCTATTGATCATGCAATGTACGCAATTTTGTACCACCTTGATTTTCTGTTTTAAAACTGTAAGAAAAACTTTATTAATTGTCACATAAAAGCTTTATCCTAAACTTAAATGCTTTTTTGAAACAAGGAAACTTAGACCCACTGAGGACTTTGTTTTCTTAGATTGACTTTTTTGGAGGGTTGTCCAAATGATTCATTTGAAATTTGAACCTCTCTGAATATATAGTGACATAGTCGCTCGTGAAACACTGCAAACCACAGAAAAATGCTGTAGCTATCAGAACAGTAATTTTCTTCTATCCTGCCTCACAGTACTGATTTTGCCTAGAGATTTTCCTCCATGCATCCCAGAGTTTGTTATTATGGCCTCTACATGCAGCCCATTCTGTCTGATCCAAGCAATTAGAACAAAGAAAGGCGACACTCGCCTCTGCCAGCCCCCTGACAGAGAGACTAAGCACACACAGGTGTCCAGAGCAGGCTCTTTGAAGAAAATTACAGTGCATGTGGCCACAGCATGATAATTAGTATCGGGTTATCAGCTGGAAATAAAGGGGTACATCAAGATATAGATGGTTCTCTGGGTAAGAAAGAAATGCATGTTTGAAAATAATTAAACCCCTTAGATCTGTTTCTCAGGGTAGACTGCTGTGTAGATTTTGTTGGTAGTTGCTGCAGAGCATGAAGCAGCCATTACTGTTACTTTCAGATGTTCCATAATGTGAAACATATTCACCATTAATAGTGCTGCCAGAGGCCATGTTTTCAGTTTCGGTGGGAACCTCCAGGGGGCACCATCTGGTTGATATATCAGCTGAAACCCTTCCAAAAAAAAGGGTTTCAGCTGATATATCAATTGTATTGGTGCTATTAAAGGAATAGCACCAATATAATTTCAAGTTGTGTAATTTTCTTTCTTTATTTAGTTGTAAAACCATGCCTCGTTTTTATTTATTTTATGTTGTTTATGATGTCATATTGCAAAGGTTTTATGTCAGCGTATAGCTGCACATCAACAGCTCAACCTCAGGGGGGTGCTATAACACAGCACCCGATGGAAAACACATGAGCTTGTTCCTTCAGGTCTCTCACAACAAATTAACAATTAAAATAGCACATTTATTTTACAGCTTCCCATAAGCCTTTCTTCTAAATCCTCTTTTGATCTTAACTGAAACTTATTGAGATATTGATCCAGAATTTATAGGCAGAGACTTAAATTGAATTAGGTTTATGAAAACAAGTGCATGGTTCTTACGACATACCTCTAAGATGAGCAGTCTAAAGTCTTACATACAAGTTATTTTGAGCAAGTCGTTGCTTAACTACTTACTGACTTTTTTTTTCTACTTGAATATGATAGAGAATCTGCAGTGGGAACTGAATAGAGTATTAGGATAGTGAATCGAGGTCAAAAACTTGAAGATCTACACCAACGACAAATTATCAAAAGAGTGAAAACATGAAAACAAACTGGTCAGCATTTATAGGAAGATTTTGATTGATAAAATGCTGGCAAAATTTCTTCCATTTATTATTAACGAGGATAAATGTAATTTTCTACAATAAATGTGTCATTGAAAAGCCACCAGTGGTGCCATCAAAGTGGATCTGCAGGGCAATGACCCATTATATACGTTTCCTTACCTCTTCCACTGACTCCCATTATCTTAATTGTATTTTGTTGTAATTTCTGGTGTACTTTTAAAAGGCAGGAGGACTAGCAACCTTAAAAGAATAGCAACCTTTTCTGACTGTCCTTTCTCTTTGGCATGCCCACCACTCTTCGCTCTGCCTTTCAGGGGCTTAATAAACACTCCTGAATTTCTTTTATGGCTGCTAGTTTTGGTGTTTCACCCTAACATTATTATCTTACTGTATGTTGCTCTAAACAACGCCTCTTTACATTTCTATTTTGTATACCATAGTGTATATTAACATTATGATGGAGGTCAAAGTGGAATACCTACCTAATTCTCTTGCCAGGTATACATTGGCGAATTTACTAGTTTTTTTCTATCCTTCCAAACTGGAGACTGTTAAAGCAGAAAAGTATCTCTGCTCTGTTTCTGGTAAAAAATTAAATTAAAAAAAGACTTGATCCATTGCTTGCTCAGACTGGGATTTGCATTTAATGAGACTCTTATCACCCTTATATTACTGTTAGTACTGAAATGATTAGACTCAAATCGAGAAATTATTTTATGTTGCAATGCTTACAATTAAATAACTTTTATTTTCTGAAACGTGTTTATGGTTGAGCTAAGTAACGTTTTCTATTGTAAGAACCTCCAAAATCAGATTTCAATAAACACACCACAATGTTTATTTTGATGCATGTATTTATTATCTACTCAGCACTACATATTTTTTGTTTGTTTTTCACAAAATGCATAAAAATAATTCCACTGGTGCTCCAGTAAAACACTTTGCTTCATATAATTACAAGAAAACACCCCACACTTGCTTTGAACATCCAGCAATGAAAGGTTTTCAGCAGTTCACAGCCTGTGTTTTTGTAGTTGAGGTGTACAGAGAGATCCAAGTTCAGCCACACATACTCAAACATATGTGCTCGCATATCATTCACACATTCACACAGCTGCTGTACAAGATAAATTCTAAGGTAAAATTTACATTTGATGCTTTACATGGATAACCAAATGAGATGGAATTCCTTTGTCCACAGTTGTTAAATCCATCAATTTATTTGGCAAAAGTCTCTCTCTTTTGAGTGGACTATTGAAATCAGAAAGCAATCATTCAGGAACTTGTCCACGGACTTGAAGACGTGATTAAGACATATGGTCCTTAAGCAGCAGTTGAGACTTCTGTCTTGCTCGTTGAAACTGAGGTTTCGTCCTCCACCATGCCGCCCATTCCAATAGTGGTGAGCATGCAGTTACGGAACTGAAAGTCAGAGAAAGGGGAATATTTAAGAGCTTGCATATAAATACATAAAAACATAGGTTGTGGTGTCTGTAGAATATGCCAACCTGTTTGTTCATCAGGACGTAGATAACAGGATTGTAAAGGGCTGAGCTCTTTGCAAAGAAAGCAGGCAGGGCTGCAGTTAGAGCCGTGAAAGCTGCTCCTTTGTTCAAAAAGATCCAGCCAGCGAAGGTTGCGTATGGCGTCCAAGCTACCAAGAAGCCCAACACCATCAAGACACACATCCGTGTTACTTCTTTCTCAGCTTTCTGTGTAGAAGCCGAGTCCTGCTGCTGAGCTGCGGCCTACAGAGTTCAGTAAGGTAAAAGGTAATAAAACACTTGTGCAACTCTTTCAGTGAGCTCAGAAGAAGTTGGATGAAAACATATGTAAACTTCACTTACAGCTTTGACTGTCATGACGAGGCTTCCGTAGGTGAAGAAAATTAGGAAAACAGGAATGAAGAAATGAACAACGAACATGTAGATCACATAAGATTCATTGTTGAATCCTGGAGCCAGGGTGTAGTAGTCAGGTCCACAGGAGCACTGCATGCCTTCTGGAAGGTACCTGTACAACATAAGAAACAATAACATTATTTGAAGAAGACAGTAGTTAATATGTTTATTTATGGTGATTCACTTCTATTGTTATTTCACTTGTAGTAAAAGAAGAGCTACAGAAATCTCGATAAAATCATTTTGAATCAAGCAAAGGTTTACCTTGACCATCCAAAAAGTGGAGGTGCTGCACAAGCAAGAGCCATGATCCATGTGGAAAGAACTCCAGCAGCAGCATGAGTTCCAGTGAATTTGAAGCTGCCCATAGGTTTGCATACAACAATATATCTCTCAATAGCCAGAACAACCAGAGACCAGAGAGCAACTTCACCTGCAAAGACAAAACAAATGTATTATATTACTAACTGTAGACAAGCCACTGAAGCA